TCTCTAGTACAATGAGTATAGCAATGTATTTTAATAGCTTCTCTGATACTAGGAGTATTTGAACAATAGAACATTTGTGCACTTCCTATTAAATCCAAAAAGTGTTAGTTACTGATTTTTACTACAACAGTAGTTTTCAACAATTTTAAAGGAAGTACAAAATGTCAAAACACAAAACAACTGTTTCTGAAATTATTAATATATTTACCATACTTGAGTATGTCTATTTCTGGTAAATGTGTTTTATTGTAATTATTTAACTACAGCATTAAAAAGAGTAACATTATTTATACATGCATTTCATGTCTCCATGCCAGTGTCTGACATTCACTTTGAATGATCTCACTCAGCAACAACTGTCTTGAAAATATTTTGTTCAGACACCAAAAAACAGATCTGAAAAAGCTACAAGACCTTCAGCCAGATTATTTTTCTGCCTGCTGCAGGTAATTTCTTAGCTTACCTATATTTATATATTACATTTATTTAGGCCTTTTAAATGAGGCTTCTGCCTGCATGTTCATCATGGTGATTTTGCATCTTGTTTAACATTCATCCACTCAAGAAAAAAGTTTAAAGAAATTCATTACAAAGGATTTGATTAGGGTCTGTCAACACAGAATTTACAGTTTATCTCAGCCCAGGCAGTTGTGTGCACAAATAGTTCCTCCTCCTGCCTGGAGGGCTATTGGATACATTGCTTTCCATATTCCACCTTAGCCAGTGAGTCTGTGGGGAACAGAGAACAAATATATTACCTAGCACAGGTGACAGGGATGCTGAGCAGGCAGCCCCTGCTTAAGTCATTGGCTAAAGGAACAGAATAAAAAGCAGAGGCAGCTATGCAGAGGCAGCCAGTATTTAAAAACCCATCTTCTCTGCATTGTTTGCACAGATTTTATGTTTCACCAAGAATTCTAGTGCCCAGTACTTGCTCTACATAGTATTCTCAACTGGAATTTCCAGCAGTTACAAAATAAGATCACCAATCTGTGAGGGGACTGAGGGTTCTGCATATTTATTATAACAATGACTCCTCATTATTTTCTCCACCCTTTAGCAGACAGGGGGACTGAGGGTTCTGCATATTTAACTCCTCCACCCTTTAGCAGACACAGCTTGTGTACACGGGATATTTTTGCAATCCTGCAGGCAGGAATCACAAAAAGGCTTCAAAATCCATATCAAGAGTAAAATAGACAAATGTAAAGTCCTTGTTTTTAATGGAGTAATCAAGTTTGTTAAAAATGTTTGATTTTTTTTCTGTGTCACTAATTAAAACAAAAAGTGTAGAGCACATTATTGTGACAAGAACTCAAGCCCATTAAGTTTTTCACAAATTAGTTTGTCTGCTCCAGGATCAGAACACAAACTTGCTTTTAACACACTTTTAAATATTCCCCTTTCTGAAGAAGGCTTTCCTTCATTTCTGTAAAATAATAAAACTGTAAGATGCAAAAATGAAAAATAGTAGAAATGATCATTTCTAAATGAGAACAAGTAGGTAAGTATAATTAGAAAAGAAGTTATCTTTAATGTGGCAATGCCTTGTAATAATTTACCACAGAGCTTCTCAAACCTGAAGTTTAAAAAATCTTTCCAATTTCAAGCAGCCTCTATAAATTATTATAGCAGAATAAAGAACAAGTCTTCAGACAGAAAAGTCCTTTTAGTCTTGTATTAGGAGTTCAATTTGTCAAATTGTCTTTATATAACCATGTAATACACTGGAAATGTATTCATTAACAGTCTCCTAAGTGGCACAAAACCTACCAATTTCCAATTTAAAATGCAGATGATGGAAAAAAGTAACCATGATATTTCCCAGAACAGTACCTGCCCAGAATTAATTTAATACTGCAATTTTACAAGAACAAACGGATGTCAGAAACCTGTGACACAGATTAACTCCCAATTTAGACCATCATGTTATTATTAACTTTCCAAGTTAACTACTCCCCTGCCCAACTCAAAAAAAAATTAAATCGAATATACAGAATTTTTTATAAGTTCCATTTATTTTTTATTTAATTTCCAAAGATTCTATGGAAGTTCATGATCACAAAACAATATAACTCAATGTAACTTATACTTTTAAGATGAGAAAACAAATCTTAATACATAAAGAGTTAGCTGTTTTGATAAAGAATGTTAAAAAATAAAACAAAGGCGTTTTCAAGTACTCTCTAAAATCCAACCATTAAAGTAATATGCAATCAATTTTGGAAGCAGACATGAGCACTACGGCATCAGGCTTCTCTCAGATAATGTTTTGTCATATGGTTTCCCCATTAAACACCATGATTTCTTGGAGAAAACAATTCATCTAAATATCATTTACTATTGGAGTGTACCCAACAATTTACTATTAAACATGCACTATCCTAAGCAATAAAAAAAGAGAACTGCAGCAATAGTAGTTTAGGAAAGCACAGTTGGGAGCTCACTGGATTTTGCATTTTATGCACTGCAAAACATTTCTGCCTTCTGAAAGGGTGGTGGGGTTGAGTTTTTGGTGTGAGTTTGGGGGGGTTTTGAGACCCTTGGAAAAAATATCTATTCCTTAAAATTCACAGTACTAATAACAACAACACACTGCATCAGTAGCCCTTGAGAGATAGTTGCACCCAACTGTGGCAAGAAGTAGAACATTTCTAGAATCTTAAATATTTCTTTTAATAATTGATGTAGTCATTTTGAATCTTTCTGCATAGGATATGGCGTGTGAGTAGATTGCATTAACACTGCTTAAACATTTCAACTTGTCAGTATGGCCAAGTCGATTTCTGAAATATTTGCTGTATTTTCCCATCGAAACAGTAATAAAGGTAGAATAAATATATGCCACTGCTTTATAATCACTGAACATTAATGAATATTTTATGTCTTTTTAAATCTCCCTGTTTAATTTAAAAGGGTGAAATTAAGTCTCCTCCCTGCAATATGCCAATTATCTGTAAATCAAACAATAACTTGGCCATTATAGTCCTTTTTGTTAATATACCAGAAGCTAATTTGAAAACACTGAGCGGCATTTTTAGGTAATAATTGAATAGTCCTTCCTGCCCTCTTGTGGTTGGCAACTGCATCACTGAGCTTCTCCACCGTTACAAAAATACACCAGGAGGAAAGTAAACTATTAATTTGTTAAAGTGTGAACAAGAGAATGAAGAGAAAAAAAAATCTAACAGTCCCTGGAGAGGACAGAGACAAAGGAGACAAAGAATGATACCACTGATTCCTCCAAACCACAATGACTGCCTAGATTTGTTACAATGATTACTCTAAAAGAAAAAAAAATTAAATTAAGAAGCCATTAGGGAGTTAACATTCAAAACAGTGCTTGTTTTCTATAATTAGACAAATGTTCAGCAACCCCTTTTACCTCAGCGAAATCCCCGGGGATTTCAGGAGCCTTTGCACAGACAGACACGTTCACCTGTTCAGCATCAGCTGCACAACGAGGGCCAGAGAGCTCCTTTCATTTTAGCCCCTTCACAATTTTATACACTCTATTGGGTGTGACACTCAGATACAAGAAAGGCAAAGAAAGGATTTCTGCTCATGCTGGTTACGTGGTGATAGCGTTTTTATTTTGGTTGTTTAAAGGGAAAATCATAATGAACTTTTAAATCATATTGATTTCATAATGATGACCGTGACAACAACCTGCCATTGCCAGCAAACAAGAAAACTTCAGTGCATGGAAAGGCAGCCTAGATCCCCCTGGCAGAGCCTTCTGGTTCCTTTAAGCCAGGTAAGACCCACCAGCAAAGAAGAAAATGATACAGTATTGATAAAAACCAGACAATATATATGTATGTGTTTTCTTTTAGAATCTCACCATTTTAGAATTAAAACCACCTATTTGGATGATTTATTTCCATAAATGTTCAAATTCTTTATAAGTCTAGAAAGGCAAAGCTCAGCCCCTCAAAAGTCAAACTGATTCAAGTATGTTTATTTGTATTACCACAAAAAGCAAAACTGAACTTACTATAGTAGATCTAAACACAAGAAATAGAAAACAGGCTTTCACATGAAGGAAAGATCAGAATTTAGATCTTAAGAATAACAGGATTCAAAATGAAAACAGTGATAATTTTTTATTGTTGTATGAGATACTACTCCCATAGCTAATATTACAGAACTTAAATTAATTCTGTCTACCATGTCAGCATGCGACATGAAAAACTTCAATAAAATCTGTTCAACCCTAAAAGACTGAGAGAAGTGTCAAACCAATAATAGCAAACATACATTTAATTTGAAAAGCAAACATTTAATCTTAATATTTTGTAATGTGAATTCCGAAGATTCACATTTCTACGTTGTTTGTCAAGTTTCCAGAAGGTAGTGGGTTATATGGAAAATAACATCCACAACATCTAGCATTAGATATACCATGGAGCACTAGACAACAACCTTTGGACTTGGAAAGGAGTTTTAAAAATATGCAAGGGACTGCTTACTCTGAATTCAGAGAGTCCAGAGTCACATCAGAGATATTTGTTCCTTTAGGACTTAATTCTGCTGAAGTTCTCTCCAATATCACCCCTTGCTGGCCGTTCCACAGAACGGCAGCAACGTCCATTACACACAAAACCATTTGGCTACCAGGCCAGTAAGAATTACAGCACCCTAACAGCAAGCAGCACAGTGGCTGAGGTGCCTACAAAATGGAGATGGAGCTGGTTAAAAGAAGGGAAGAAAGAGAGAGCTTCAAGGGGTTTCAAGTAAAATGAAATTTGAATAACTCAATGGAAGTGTTTGTGTATTTTGCTACTACAATACAAAAAGAAACATACTTCGGTATCATTTAATAGAACACAATTTTCTAACTGAATTCTTTAATCAAATCTTGATGATCCAGTTGATTAAAATAAAAAAGACTAATAAAATACAGGAATATCCATCAAGCCTACGTAAACCCCCTTTAAGAGAGCTGGCATTAGCTATAATGAGCTACATTTATTCTTCAGCTGTGAAACAGCACTCACCTCCTGAATGGTACTGCTTCCTGAGAAGTTGAGGTTGTACTCCCGCTGGACTTCTCGATGGGTGACAATCAGCATGAAGTTCTGATTTAATGACTCCTGCAGGGCCCTGAAATGGTTGAAAGAAAAACAGGAAAATCAGGGATAAGCATGTTATAGCTTGTTTTACAGTTAGATGCAGAAACCCCAGGGTACCCTAAACTCTGCATGGACAAGTCCAGGCACAACATTATCATCTCTCTTTTCACTCTTAAATGCAAGGAAGCATGCTGAGAATGACCAAAGGCCATTCCTGAACTCCTTCCTTAATAAGGTGACTGCAGCCTTTAAAGCTCATCTGATGTTAAGTATTTTCAAAATGGAGAGAGTCCCATTATCTTCACAAACCTCGGGTGTATTTAGCACTCCTAATGCCATTAATAATAGGCTTGTCTGCATATTGATGGCCAGACCAAATATCAAGCTATGATGCACATTAAGAACTGATGGTAAATAGAACAAGGCAAAGCATGCTCTTGCTTCTCAAGGGTTACCTGAAGCAGAAACCAAATGGAAATTCTTCTGCTTAGATTCATTTAAAGCACACAAACCCAGCTAATTAGAACTGGAAAAGTAACCACAGCAAAATCTCTCATGTGGGTATTGAACATTTAGAAAATTTCATTCTGCTCACATTGTTTTAAATGGACACTCAGAAGTTTTTATTTAAAAAATTCAGAGAGGGTTTTAATAAAAATAAAAACATAAATAAAAATGAAATTAACAAAAATCTTAAGATACAGTTTAAACAGGCCAACCATACCTTTATGTTGTTACAAACTTGGGTTTTTTTTCTGATTTTTCTGGTAGTAAGATATCTGGATATTAAAAAGGTATCCTGATTGCTTAATTAGGTACAAAATTATGCAGCTCTCCACTTTTCAAAGCAGAAGGCAGGACTACTGCTAGAGACATTACAATTATGGCTGTGTGCAATCTCACACATGCTACGAAACTGCAGCAACACTGTACCACACCTTGGGTTTCTAAACAATATTTATGCAGACTTGACTTGTTCAGTAGCATATGAAATTTAATGAGGCCTATTCAATTCTTTTTTTTTCTTATCACACACACTTAAAAGAATGACAGACTGTTTTTCCTTCACATCTTCACTATTCTGTGACACTTCAACAAGCCATTCCTCTTAGCACTAAAGGACAAATTCTGCACGCAGATCAGCACAGCTGTATCCTATGATACAAGAAGACAAGAAAGACTCCTCCATCATTTGAGACCTGATTTGTTAGTTGTAACTCCTGGAATTACTGATCTGCCGTTTTGCTGCTCAGGTGGGAAGGAACTCATACAATACTCAGTGGATGGTTTAGCAAGAGATACAAAGTTTGCTTGAATATCTTAGGGAAATTTACCTCACAGAAATATCTTCACTGGGAAACCTTACTTGGCTCCATCCACATCTCAATAATCACATACTACAAAACAAAATCATGAAGTGCTATTTCTTGTCTTTTACGGGTTTCCAATATGGAAAATAAATATAACTCATTGCCAATGCTGAGTATGATCATGTGCATGAGAGACACTACAAATATAACTGGAGTCATTGATGTGGAACATGTAGTTTTCTGTACTTTCACGAGATTTTCAACAAAAGGCCTAACAATTCTTTAAATACCTAACAGTCCCTCTAAAGAGGGGAAAAAAATAAAAAGAGGAGTCCTGAAAAGTTCTATGCCTATTTTCAAAGGTAATTCTAATTTGATTGTTAGTAAGTTTTGCATCCTCATAACCATATTTTCAGTAGCAACTAAAATATCCTGCTGTGCTTTTTCAGATTCTGATTTTTTATTTCTTTTCAGCAAATACTGGAGGCAAATGACATATTTAATTGCTCTGAAAACATTAATTACCTCATATGTGAATGGCTCTGGATTCCATACAGATTCACACAAGGTTCTGTTAAAGCTAATTTTGACTCTATCTGAAAATCTGTAGATGCTAACTGATAACATGACTCATGTTTTCATTCAGTAATTGATGTAAACATAGAATAAACGGGCCAATCTGATCAAACCCTCAGTCTCTCCAGTTATGCATGATCCACACACTTCAGTACAACTCAAAATACAGCTTGCTAATAAAAAGCATCCACTCATAGGAAAAGTTTTCCACTTGTGAGAGCAGGAAGTATTTTGGAAAGGAAAAAATACTCTTCAAACAAATTTAAATGAAGTGCCTAAAAATTAAAAGCTTTAATTTTTGAACTAACAATTTTGACACCTCTACTTTTGGGATTTCTAAGCAACACAAGCTGAATGCTGCTAACAAGCAAATTCTCAGTACATATTCATTGACAAACAGAGTGAAAAAAGAGGCTGAAAATTAAGCTGGCTAAAAAAAAAAAAAAAAAAGAAAAAAAGAGGAAAAACTGGGTTTGAAAGTGTTAGCAAACACAGTGCATGGTTAATTGTTCACTTTTTCTTTAGAAAAATAACAAACTGAGGAACATTACTTCTGCTTACACAGAAATGCACCGGTCAACTGCTCCAGTCCTTGCAGCTCCTACATCAAAATCTCACATGGTCTGACAGCTGTAAAGCTTGGACAGTGTCCACGAGAAAGTCACAGGGAGGAGGAATTGCTGACACACCTGATGGGTCACTGATGCCAGCACTGGCGCCCACCCTCCTGTGTGGGATGGGGCTGATGTGAACACACAGCCAGAGATGTCTGTCCCTCCCATAATCATTTCCTCCAGCAAAGGGGGATGCAGATTAACCCAAATTACTTGGACCAAAATACATCTTGCCCAAAAATTGTATTACAGCCATTAAGGTAATGATAAATTTTACAAGGTGAAAGTATTTAAAGGAAACTTCTCACTGGCAGCAAGACGAAGCTTATTCCTATCTCTCTTCAGGTCCACATAAGTGTATCGAGAAGATTGACTTTGAATGCAAAGCACATCTCTAAAATTTTGGCCTCAGCGTTTACAGCTGTTTAATTTTCCTACAAATGTTATAGTTCACTACAATTTTCCATATAAAATAGCTATATTAAAAGGGGAAAAAAAATCAGGGTCAAAATGTAGGTCCCATTAAAGACAATACAGATTTTTTTCCCTTCTTTTTCTTTGTTGCCAGAAGTGCTAAGAGAATACAATTAATCTGAGAATTAATTAGTGGGAAAAGAAAACTAAATTCTGGAAAGAGACTAAAGTAGGCCACTCTTACTAGAACATTTTTCCCCTACTGCAAACCCCAGCTTTCAAAAGCATTTGCTGATAGGTGATATACACCATTACAACCTTTTCACCTCAGCTGAATGATTCTGCACTCGCTGTGCAGCACAAGAGGCAAGGGAATCTGTATTTTTGGGTACCAATCCTCCAGCTGAGGTACCCTACCGACACCCAAAAAAGAAGTTCAAGAACAAACAAAAGAAAACAGATCAGAGCACAGTCATTGCTCCGACCATGGCATTAATGCTCTGATTTTTTTTATATGATACTTTGCAATTCGACAGCATTTTTCTTTGAAATTTTAGTAATATTTTCGAATTTGACACCAAAAGTAAATCCTTAAAAAATTATATGTAAATGCTCCTTTCATTCCAGTTTTTATGAAATACACTCAGTATTTCCTACTAGGCAATATCTTTCTCAGTCACACAGATTTCCCCAAAACCTCTGATTTTTATACAAACAGGTATGACACAAGGTAATTAACATTTCCATTTTAAACTTACAGATTTATATAAGCTCGTGTCAACAGAAGTCCAAATTTACTGTAATTACAGATTATTTACATTAAAACAAAATAAGAAATCAGTATGTAAATGTAATGTTTGTTGTAGCTAATGCAGCAGGAGGTGGTAGATTAGGTTCAAACAGCAATCAGTTAGCAAATCTGGCTAACATGTAAATGAGCAGAAGCCCTTTTGTTTACATTCTATTGCATTTTAAACTTCAGGATTTTTAAACTGTCTCATGAACAGATGGGAAAATAAAACATTAATCTTACCATTCTTATGGAAGCTTTCAAAGTAACTAAAGCAAGGCACTGCTCCTGTCCAGCTAAACAGACAGGACTAATAATTGGAGTTGCAGGTTACATCGTTCTTAATTAACACTCTGCTACAGTTGATAACATACAGCAAGACACCACATCACCACCACTGCTCTGCAATCATCTAAAGCAGAGGCATTCAGCAATATATGCACCTATTGCTTGAAAAAAGGGATCTGTGGGTTTTTTCTTTTCCACACAGATGATTACACTTGTTAAACAAGTTACAATCACTTAGTAAAATTGCATTATTTCCAATCATCCCCATGGTATGCACCTGGGGTTTTAATGCTTTTCAACTTTCCAGTGATTCATCAAGTATAATAAAGTATGTTTGCTAAATAGCTGAAAGTCAAAGAAAGTATAAAAGACATTATATCCATCATAACGACAACAGCAACAAAAAACATCTCCCAGAACACACAGGATAGAAAGGAGAGACGATCTGGATGACCCAGCTCCATGGCCAGACTCCCATGCTCATACTCTTCATGCTTCCCTCTTGCATTCTCCTAAACCTATTTCCTCAACTGAGTATTGTCAGCCTTCAAGAAGCATCCAAGGCAACAAAGGGAAGGAATTGCTGAGGAAGGGATTAATCTAATCTGACAAAGCTGGTGCAAGGGATCTATCCCATGGGCGTTGAATGGTGGACATTCTTTGGCATCTTTCCTTTCAGGATTGCTTTCCGAGGGAAATCATGCTCTTCTCCACCCACCTGGTAACTTTTGAGCGTAGTCACTGGTTTTAAGGAGGTCTCATAGTGTTAGAAAGGTCTCAAATACCAGGTGTAAATCAACAGCCAGGAGGAGGAAGGGGACCCAAATTACCACCCACCTCAGTAAAAGGCTGCATTAAAAGTGCAGTATTTTATACTCATCCAGGTGATCCCTGGCCAGTGATCTCAAAACTACCCACAGGACATGACTTCTCCTTTCCTTTGATACCTGACTGTGAGCTGGAGAACAGATGCAGGGCAGACTGATACTCTGTGCAGGGGGAACAATATTACACAGGTGCTACAAAATACACAACTGGAGGCAGTATCAGAGGTAGGTGAGATGATGGGAAGCATGGAAGGGGAAGGCTGATTTACTGCAGCTGCTGGGATGAGGCAGGAATTCATTAGAAATCGGACTTCAGTATGTCCACAGCTCACAGAACACATGGTTATTGTTCTGGATATCGTGCATGGAATGTATGGCTTTACCAGCTGAAATTGTGGTAGCAGGGTGGAACAATACAGGTGATATTTGACATTTAAATTTAATCTTTCCACCTCAATTTACTAGCATGCAGTAGTAATTCACTGGGTTTCTATTACCTATAAAAGCTTTAGGTAGGCCACTGATGAACAAAGATACCCCAGGAGATTGTTGTTTATTTAAAAGGCAGGATCACTTTGCCATTACATTTACATGCCGGTTTTCAGTCAGTTCTGGGTTAAGCCCACTCAGTCTGTCACAATAAACTTCAATGCCTTCATACCAATATGTTGGAATAGGATGTTTCAGACAGTGTTCTGCCTCACTATAAAGAACAGACAAAAACTGGAGCTTACAGAGCTGAGGCCAGACTGTTCCTTTTAAGAAGGGCATATAGATAAAATATCACATACTGGAATCTCAGGCTTTTCAAATATCACTTTCTGGAGATATTCAAATCACGACTATTTATCTCTAGTTCAAAACAGAAGGCATTTGAAGAAAACAACAGATGAACTCCCAGAGCAAGAGGCAAAGTTCCTCAACATCCATTAATAATAGACGTGAGCACGACGCTTTTAAAAATTGTGGGTAACAAACTAATCTGAATAATAACTGACCTAACAGTAGGCAGTAAACAGTGTAACTGGGTTTGGTACATTGCTTCAATTAGATGTGTTTTGATCTGCATTGATGCTTTAATTGGAGGCAAGCCTCCCCTTTCATCTAGAATTTATGACTTCAGGAAGATGATCTAGCCTTCAAATTATCCGTGTTTAAATAGCCACTAATTAGGCACCATTTGCTGTCCCAATGCTACCAACTTTTATCTTAAAAATATCCAGAACTAATCTCCACTATGAAACAAATATAAACTATAAAAGGTAACAACTACTTTGATTTTACTATCAAGTGAAGTTCTTTAAAACCATTAATCCTATAAAAAAGGCTAAGAACTGTTTTTAAACAGTTTGTTGTTATATACTTTACTGCAGTTGCAATAAACAACTCTCTTCAGAGTCCAGTTTTCTCTCCAGATTTATAACATTCAAACTACAATATACAGCAATACCTAGCCAGAAAGTTTTGAAATTGGAAATGAAACAATTAGCAGCTGTAGTGTCTTTTCACTGTTCTTCAAACAGCTGCTAAGGTACAATGCTTATTGTCCTCACACACAAATACAGCTCCTGTTCGCACATACAGTTCTTGTACACCACTCTCTGTTCCAGTGCCACTCTTCCCTCTCTTAATGCTCCTTTTCTTATCATTATTATTTTTATAACTCATATCAGCATTCTTAATTCTTCCACAGACTACAAGTTAATGTGCACAAGTACCTTTTAGCAATATACAAAGTCCTTTCAGTCCTTAGGAAGGCAGCTACAAATTTCTATTGACTCCCCAAGAATTCCTCTCACCAGTAATAGAACTGCACTTGCAGAATGTTCTCCTATCACCTACAAGGTCAGAAAGCCAACTCCCTCTTCGGACAAGGTGAAATCCATGCATTTTGCCCAATTCCAAAGGCATCCCTGAGCTGCATCCCGGTCCGGAGCAGCTCCTTTGGCAGCTCAATTCCCGCGCACCCTCTAGCGGCTACCGAGGAAAATTCCCATTTTCCTGGGAAACAGCACATAAAATGCAACCTTTGGGAAAGGGAAGGACACGGAAAAAAACCAAACCAAACGAATTGCTAACGACTTTAAAAGAGTATTTTCCATATAACGTCGCTTCATTTTCAACCCTTCGCAATATTCCCTGCCAGCAGAAAGAGACCTGGGGTGCTGCTGGGCAGGGACCGAACACGAGCCCGGCATGGCCAGGGGGCCAGCAAGGCCAGTGGCACCTGGATTTGAGCAGGAACATGCAGGACCAGGGCAGTGACTGTCCCCCTGTGCTGCCGAGGCCACAGCTCGGGTGCTGTGTCCAGCTCTGGGCCCCTCAGCTCTGGAAGGACTTGGAGGGGCTGGAGCAGGGCCGGAGATGGGAACGGAGCTGGGGAAGCGCCTGGAGGGAAGGCCCTGAGGTGACCGAGGGAGCCCGGGCTGCTCCTGGAGAAACCCTTCAGCTCAGGGGGAACCTTCTCACTCTCCAAACGCCCCAAAATGAGGAGTCTGTCTCCACTGCCATGTCTCAAGTGGAAGGATGAGAGGAAATGGCATTAAATTGCACCACAGCAAGTTCAGATTAGGTATTAGAAAAACATCTTTCCCTGAAAGAGTGGTTAAGCACTGGATTAAGTTGCCCAGGGATGTGGTGGAGTCAGGAAGTTTTCAAGAGATGTCTGGATGCGGCACCTGGGATTTGTTTCAGGGGTGATTATGGTGGGTTGAACTAAATAATCTTGAAGGTCTCATCCAGCTTTGATGATTCTGTGATTCTGTGACATACGAACGCTCACTGCTTACTTCTTGAGTGTACAAATCAGTAATAAAATATATCCTTCTCAACTCAAGGAAATAAATTATAATTCATTATTAATGAATAATTAATTTATTTATATTAATTAATTATTCAGTCCACCTACATACATTTAAAAAGTACAAGATAAAATAATTCTGAACAGACAGGAATGATTTATACAGATTTATATGATACATTAAATGGACCAACATAAAGCAGCAACTTATGCAAGGCCAGCTCTCATTTCCACAGGGACCAGATTTCTGTTAAATTAAAGTCATCACATCTGTGAGATGCAAAATTCTGTATGTACCTAAGAGGCTCATGTACCCCACCAGAGTTTTAAAAACCCCAACAAGCTTCCTTTCATCCCAACAGTCACTAGTGCAGTGAAAACACTTCTTATTTACTGACTGCAGATTCCTAAAAATACACATGTGGCTTCATAAAAAAACCCCAAAAAAACCAAACAAATAAAAAAAAACCAAACAAACAAAAAAAATCCCCCAAAACAAAAACCATACAAATAGAATTTACGGCCAAAAGACTTACCCAGAATGACTTGAAGAAGGCGGAGGCAGGTCAGGTGTTAGAACATAAAGACTATTATTTTTTGGCAAGTGTAGACTTTTTAAAACAGTCTGAAGGGAGAAAAATCATTATAAATATAAAACATTCACCAATTATGATTTTTTTTTTTTGATCATAGGCATGTATTTATAATATCAGCAAATATTTTGTTTCAAGATACAATTTCTGTTACTTCAGAACATCATTTTTGTAGGTGGGCCACATTATATACAAACCAAACACAAACTGATTTGTCCTGATTTTATTTTGCAATGTTTTAGATTAAGAGTTCTTTGTGTGCCACCCAAGACATCTGACACTGTTTGAAACTAACAATTCTTGCATTGTAATCCCCACCCACAGATGCTCAGTTTGAAACTGAGTTCAGTTAACTGAAAACACAGTTGAAAACTTACACTATCATCTACATCTCCAGTCTTCCACCCTTTTAACAGCATTTTAGATGCAGGAATCTGAAGTTCATTTTCTAGAATATGTTTGATATCTCCTAGAGAGAAAAACAAAGAATATATATAAAATATACACATCTACTGCTTTATTTCAAACAGCAGTGAGTTGTACTTAATAAACAAGAGCAAGGAAAAATTTACAAGAGATGGATTTTCAGTCTAGTTACCCTTGTAACATACCCTTCAAACAGTAAAGGACAAATGAAGCTTAAAAAAACAATCACAAAGCATGAATGATTGGAGAATCACACAAGGATTTGATGATTTGTACATATATATTGGTAATTCTGTATTCCGTATTTATTAGACACAGATAGCTGTGTGCTATCTGGAACACCAGACTTAAAGAGGGTGCATATTTCTGATAGCAAATTTGATTAGCATTAGTCCAGACATAAGGAACTGGAATGTTCATACAACCGACTGCTCTGACAGCTTTTTCAATGTTTTATACGTTTTGATTCTCTTCTGCCCCTGTAGTTATTACAGTCATAAAGTAACTCAGGCTGGAAGGTACCTCTGGAGTTCATGTGACCCAAGCCTAACTCAAAAGTCTAATTAAACCAGTTTAGTCAATGACTTGTCCAGCTGGCTCTTGAACATGTCAGGATGGAAGTCTGACAACGTTTCTGCCCAACCAGTTTCAGTACTTCACCACCCTCACAACAAAAGAAAAAATCTTTTCTTTAATGTGAATTTTTGATGTGTCTATTGCCTCCCATTCTCATGCACCTCCAAGACAAGTCTGGCTCCATCTTCTCCACATCCTCCAGCAGGCAGCTGCAGACAGAGGTCAGGTCTGCACCTTCCCCTTTCCTCCCCAGGCTGGAAAAATCCTCTTCTCTGTGTCTCTCCTCCTGTTAGCCCAGAGCTCCAGAACCCTGACCAGACTTACTGAAGGATGCCATCATCTTTCTTCTAGTGAGCACCTCAAAACCCCACACAGTGCCTCAGATGCAGTCTGGCTAGTGCTGAATAGAGGGAAATAATGATTTCCTGGGATCCACCAGCTACAGTCTCACCAGCAAAGCCGGAGAAATGGCAAGTCTTCTTCACTGCAAGAGCTCATTGCTGAAGCACCCAAGATCCCTTTTACTAAATTGTTTTCTAGCCCATCAGCCTTCAGCCAGGTAGCAGGTGGGGATAACATGGAGTTATCCTATGCCAGACACAGGACTTCAACTTTATTTTCTTGGAACTTCAGGAGGCTTCTATCAGCCTATTTCTCCAGGCTGTCCAGGACCCACTAAACAGCAGCCTTGCCCTCCAGAGTATCAGCCACTTCTCTGAGCAGATTAACATTTATTTTGATCAGTTTTTTATCCAGTTTTCATCTTAACATTGTAACTAGAAAAATACAACAGCAGAGTACATCAAAGGCCTTACTAAAGCCACAGTGACATTCTCTCCCCTTGTCAACTGAGCCGGTCATCAAATTGTAAAAGGCAAATAATGCTGACTGATCAGGTACAATTTGCCTTTAGTAAATCCATGCTGGGTGTTCCAAATCCCATTCTTTTCTCTCCCATGGTCAAAAAGTGCTTCCAGAAAGATTTACTCCATAATCTTCCCACAGACCAAGCTCAGCAATCACCACTGAACACACATTCACATTTGCCTTAGCCTCTGTCCTCCTTCTGATGTACTTACAGAAACCCTTCTAACCCCCCAGTGGTTTCACCTTCAGCTGAGCTTTGGCCTTCCTAGCTCCAAACCTGCACCCCTCTGTGCTCCTGCTGGGCAGCCCACCACTACTTTCCAGCTCTGGCTACTTTGTTTTTGAATTTAGCTCAGCCAGAAATGTTTTCTTCTTCTGTGCTGGCCCTCTGCCATGCTTGCTCCTCTTGCACATTGGAAGGAACTCTTCCTGTGCTTTGAAGAGATTGTCTTGAAGATCAACCAGCTCTTGGGTCCCTGTGCCTTCCTGGGCAGCCTCTCATGGGCAAGCAGATGCCCATAAAAGCAAAATCTATTCTTTCCTCAATTCCACAGCTGAAGTTCTAAAATTTGCCTTGCTCACTTCTCCCAGGACTTCAAACACAAGGCTGCCTTCCATCTTTATATCCCAAAATATAGAAATTCTACACGAACTGCCTTCTGCCCTACAGCTTTCAGGTAAAAACCAATAAGAAAAGAAAAATCAAAGCAGCACAGCTGAAAAAATCTGATCTGGTCAGTTTTTGATGCCTCATTTCCATGGATGCAACTCAGCACAAAGGAAAACAGAAAACACCCATGGATAATTCAAACCGAGCACCGCTAGGTGGCGCCACCCAACACCAAATCCATTGCCGAAAGGACAAGCGAGGATCAAAAGTTTCAATTTCCAAATTTCACCCCACACAAAAGGCTGCAGCACGGAAAATTGCTTTCATCAACTATTCCTTCACGTAGCTCCTTATTTGGATCTGTATAAGCTCTTCACTAAAAGTAAAAAAATTAAAATACTTTTCTTCCTTAGCAGAAGTAAATTAACTCCCAGTTTGGTGAAGGTGAAAAATAACATGCTCTGAAACACTAGCATAATTCTAACATACTGCTTCAAATTGCATAATTTTTAGGGTAAAGACAATAAAACTGATAGAATTAATCTTAATTTGAATGAAAGAGTCAAATAAAAATTGAACTAAGAAGAATGCAATGATGTTCCTCACATCAGGAAGAATTCCTCTAATCTTGTCACTAATCCTGTGCAGAAAGAGATGCCATACAGATTCAAAGAGGAAATGCCAAGATCATCCACTTATTAATAGCTTGCATCTACACTAATCCTATCCCAAATTACATTTTCATGCCTCAACTTAATCATTAATCTTCATTTTGTTTCTGAAGCAAGTTCATAAGGAAACTAGATTTCAAAATAAATATTTGATAGATCACTAACCTTTACAATGGATTAGTGAAATTTTGCTTTTTTAAAGCTGCAAAGAGATTTGAAAACGGTTAGTAGCTGTGGAGGCTGCATTTTTGGGGGGATCTTTTTTTTCTTTTTGAGAGGTTTTGCTCTGCTTTGCTTTAGGACTTGGATTTTTGGGGTTGAATCTTTTTAGTTTGTCCTTTTAACAGTTTCACAACAGCAGCTTTCATTTCATTTTTACAAATCCTTACCAACTGTAGAGCTGTCTTCAAGTACTACATCCACATTTCTGTCTCTGTACTCAACCCTGAAGTCAAGCATTCGAGGTTGTCTTTCCACTATTTGTCTAGATGGCACTACATGGCGAAATGCTGAGGAGGAGGAAGGAGCTGAGGAAGCTGCAGCAGAGTGACTGCTGGGGCCATACGCTGGTCCGTGCAAAGTCTCTACACCGTACTCACTGAAAGACAGCAAACAAGATGATTTCACCAGAACAGCTTGGCATGTCTAGCCAGAAGTTAGGAAAGCAAAATGACAGTATTATTCACTTACTACAGTCCAGCACACACCTCTCGAATTATTGCTGCTGTATCTGAAAAAAATACTTATTAAAAATGAAAAAATAACTTCTGTATTAGCAATTTTAACCTTTCAGGGCTCAGGAGCACTATAGGAGATCAGCATTGATCTGATAAACAAAACATTTAAAATCCACTGTGTAATTAATACCAGAAGTATCTTGAGGAGAAGGATTGTTTCCTGTTCCAGGAGTATTGTGGCCATATAAAAATTGGCACCATGGCAACGACCAGCTTTCTACATCATTGGGCTAGTATCCAGTGGAAAAGAGAATAAGAAATACAGCTCAAAATTCTGCACCCAGATAGGTATTTTCTCACACCAAATTAGTGAAAAACCAGACAGATATGAAAGTAGATACATGTTTAAGGTTAATAAATTAAGATAATGAAGCATGTGTTTAAGAAGAAAACACCTGTAATGCAACGCTGAATTCTGGCTTGCCTTCAAGTTCAAAACCCTGCAAGGCTCCCGGAGATTCATATAAGGATATCTCCATAGCTGACTCTAAGGATACCCACAGCAGAACAGGTCAGAATAAACTGGAATACTCTCACTACCCAGAAGCACTTCATCTTCCTCAGTGAGCCTCTCCACAGGAAACATGTAACTGGGACTGGAAACTAGTGCAACAAAACATGGCATTTCAGGAATATCACTCCAGGCAAAAAAAAAAAAAAACAACAACAACAACAAAAAAAAAAAAAAAAAAAAAAAAAAAAAAAAAAAAAAAAAAAAAAAAAACCCACCAACCCTATGATGTACAGAAATCAAATTTGGAAGGTTGGAAGGCGAGAAACTTCATCAGGTAAGCCTGGGGTGTTGCCTTTTAGATGTTCTTACCAGGCAGATGCTGGGCAGTTACAGAATCTCATGGTGGATTTCAGAAATGCTGCAACATAACTTGTCTCATTTTCATTCCTTATCAAAACTTATTTCAAAAATTCCTTCTGTTCTCAAAGATACCATGAGATTCTCAGTGGAAATGCTTCACAGAGCAAGTCAAATCTGTCATCTAGAGGAGGTCTGAACTTTAAAAAATGCAAATGTGTATGGCATGCATGTCACAAAAGTGCAACAGTACTCAGCTACTCCCATCATTGTGCCTCTCACATTTGAAACAGAAAAACATGTTATGCTTGTAAAACAAGGGGCTCCTTCACTTCTCACATCAGCATGCTCAGAAGGATGAATGCCCAGCCACAAAGACCTGCACTCTCAGACCTATGGCTCAAAAGTCAAAGGCCCACGACAGAGCTCTAAGGAGTACAGGAAACAGTCTAAGTTCAGTATTTTAAAAACTATACATACCAAGTGATACATTATTTGCTTCAACATGGTGGGCAAGTATGAATTAAGTACAATTGTAAAAGTAACAATTCTGTTAGTAGACCCAAGAAGCAATGGATATCCCAGTTCTCAGGACTGGATTACAAAAAGCAACTAAACTACACAACAGTGTACTTTTTTCTCTTCAATAAATTAACTTGCTTCAAGTCCAGTTGCATTAATTCTATTTGATTCCACCACAAAAGGCATCCTACATGTCTGACTAGCAACCTCTAATAGAACATAAAAGGCCCCACATCAGTAAAATAAGCCCTTTCTGAAAACCACTGGAAACCAGGTTTCTAAATCTTCTGAGCCTCCCTTTAAACCACTTCCACTGGAAGAAAACAAAACAAGACAAAAACAAAGTAACAAAAATACCCATTTGAAACACATTTGATGATCTAATAATTTCTAAAAATTAATCAAATGAGTGAAAAAAAAAAAGTGGGCACTGGATCACCTTGTGATTGAAGACAGGCATTAACTACTCTAACTATTCCCCAGTTTCTTTTACCCAACCAAACATTCTGGGATTTTGGATAGAAATGCTTTGAGGTCACAACTTATATGCAGAAAGAGTGCTCCACACAACCAAGACTTCATCTCACATGGACTAAACAGGCCTTACAGCAAATATATATTTAGTAACTTTACTGGGCAAATAGTTTTATCCTCAATCAAAAACTGACTCTGTTGAATTAGTAAGTATTGACAGAGATGCCAAACGCCGCTTTACCTGTATTATGTATCTTATTTCATCCTTGACATTTTTTAAACAGTACATTAAGTATTTTTCTGAACAAACATTTAAACACTGTTTTACTGTCTCTCTCAGGTAGCTTAATCCCTGTTCTGCTGTTTTCAATTGCCTCATCAGCACTTAGAAGATCAAATTTCAGTGAGTTCAAGATATGCAAGCATCAGTATGCAAGCCAAAATTTAATTCAGAAGCTGAAAGAAAATCAGTAAAACTACTTTTAGAAGGGAACAACCTTACTTTATCTATCACAGTTTCTGCTGCTTGTAATTCAATTTTAAAAACAAAAAGAGAAAAAAAAACCAAGTATAAATGGTTTTGGCCCGAAATAGCAAAGCATGGAATATCAATACCTTTATAAATGCATAAGGAACAAGAAACATTTATCCAGAAGCATACCACCCAGTCTTTGTAAAGAGACAACCCTGCAAAGAATGACCTAACCACCAGTGAAAATAAAATAAAAGTTAACTATTTTGAACAGATGTTTGAGCTAGTCCTCTATCAGTATGGGAAAAACCGAATGTTAAATCAGCTTTGCCAGGAATAGAATTTGTGGCTCCAGAAACAGCTTTAAAAGGAGAATTATGTCATCTTTTTAGGATTCAGGAAGGAAAAAAAAGCAACTGTTACCCAGCATCATTCTCTTCATGTACTACTCCAGTCCCCTGTGCTTACCTTTGTAGAATGCCATTTTCTTGCGGTATAACACCATTTATAGCTGCCTGAAAAGAGAAAACAAATTTTGAGTCAAGCATGCAGAACGAAAATACATCAGAACTTTTATAATATGTTTTGAAGAGTGATTAGCCTGTTTCAAAACATGCCCTAAAATGCTCTCTATTTAGTGAATATTCTTGGTGAACGATATTATCATTATGGGATCTACATAAAATAAAAACCATACCCAAGTGAAAAACAAACATGAGCTGAAGCTCAGACTCCTGTTTGGTTATCCTGTGATGGATTTCCCAGGTGGAATGCCTGGGAATAAACTTTGGTACTCACAAAGGAGACACATCACTCCAAACACACACAGAAAACTGTGAACAGCCCAGGCAGCCTCAGAGCACATCCACAGAAAATCTGATGTTCCCCAGGAGCACCAGCCATGGCCCAGCCCATAACCCTGCCCAGCTGCACACACCCTGCGTGCTGCCAGCCCCATGTGCTCCCGAGCAGCTCCATCACACCTACACCTCTCACACAGACACCACCCAGCCTCCTCAGGCTGCCAGGGACCATCCCAAAAATTTAAACTATCCTCAGGGAGAAAAGGAAGTATTTATTAAGCAGGGTCTATGCAGTTAAAATACCATTCCACAGTGTCCAAATCACCAGAAGGTTTAACAGTAAGATTAAAGAGAGCTTGTAGCATCCCACTACTCTCAGTTTTCTCCTGTGCCAGCAGCAACTCATCCATTTTCGACCTTCACCACTTCTAAAATCCATCCTCATATGTCAGATACACCTGACCTGTTGGCCACAATACCTGGTGAATGAGTGCCTGGTCCCCAGTGAAGAAGGGAACACTGATCTCTAGCAGTTCATAGATTCCCTGGTACTCCAGGAGGACAAAGTCATACCCTGTAACTGAACTACTGACAGCAATCATCTATCAACATCTTTTGTACAAACTGACATTAAAAAAATGTAGCTTAAGTAAGTGCTTAATAAACACAAAAATAGATGCAATCAAGATTTAAATGCTATGGTTTCTTTTTCTCTGAATAGATAAACATGACTTTTTTACAATTTCCATTAATAGTTAAGGCTACATGAAGTCAGAACATTTTATTGCTGAACTCAGCTAAATTACTGTGATACTGCAATAAGATTTATCCTGCATTTAGAAACAAATATTGCATTAATAATTTTTTAAAAAGCAGAGAAGGAAAAGGTCAGAGGTACCCATAAGCTATAGCAACAACCCATGAGGCTGTATCAAATTACAGTGAAAACAAAGTTCCCTACCAGATCAGGTTTTAAATCAGTTTATTCACTGTGCATGGTAATAATCAGTGGTTTCTTTCTAACAACGTGTCTCATTTATCATCATTGTGGTTTTTGCAGTTATACACAGCTCTTGATGGTGTTCATCTAATAAACCTCCAGGAAAGAGTAGGAGGTTTTGGTTTATTTGGGTTTTTCTGGATTGGCTTCTCGCTCCCATACTCTTCGACAACATACATTTAATTTATGTCAATCAACAGATAAAGTTGGCTGAGAGCAAAATTATCCTTTATTTTGCATCTGTTAAGATACAGAGAGCAAACACAGGTTTTGTACCACAGAACCTACACTAATAATGATCTGCTGGTGCAACAAAATTCTCGTTACTTGGGGAAAAGAAGGTGCTTCAGCTGTGAAGAAATACATCAATGTGGTATTTTCACACTTCTGTCAAAACTCTGTCTCAGAGGATTAAATCAGCTCAAACTTCTTCTGAGCCTAGTTTGAGGGGTTAAGTACAGTAGAGGCTTCAAGCTATTTTCTTTTAAACTGAATAACTCACTTGTTCATATATCCCCAGTTTTGTAAACTTGATGACATTTAAGGGGCACAGGAGTAAGAAAAAACAGCAGAAGCATTATGTGCTTTTTTGATGAAAAGACCTCTATTAACCACACTGTAAAACTGAAGAGTCCAGACACTGTTTGTTAAGCAAGATGGAAGACTAAAATAACGTAGACAGCAAATGGTAGCAGTGCACATGTACATACTGCATAAATATTAAATATCCATGTTCTAACAAGACAGCTATAAGTAGACCCTGCAAAGAAAAAAAGAAAAAGGAACAACCATCTGCTTTAGAATTTCATTGGGAGAAGGTTGTGACTATAAAAAAAATAAAAATTAAAACAAGAACACGTTACTAAGGCAAGATCTGCTCCAGGCTGTTCCTCCCCAGTGTCAGCCCCCTTTGAGAGGCTCACATCTCTATGGTTATGCAAACGTTTCAAGATATTACTTTTTTTTTTTTTTGTCTCTCCAAACAGGGATCTTTGATCACCAAAAGCACCCTGTGTGGCTAATTTATAGTCATTAAAAATGTGTGCTACTCTCAAAACAATGTTAATAACCAGTGCATTAAATCTATTTATGGGTTATTAATATAAAGAAACCATGTCTGGATCAGAAAGCTCTTTCAGCTCCCCATAACCTGCTGCTGAGAGTGATGCCAGGGAAGCAGCACCCTGTGCTTCTGCTGCTCTCAACTGCATATCCACGAGTGCCTCTGCTGGATCCAGGGTACCACAGCTTGCTAATGCTATCACTATTTAAACAGTGAAGTTCACCTTAAATGGAGAATTACAGGGGTAATTCAGAAGATTTTTCCCAAAGCCAAGAATCCTAGATGAATCCATAAACAAATTCTGCCATAACTCTGTCCCATCCTGAAACAGAATAATTCCTGTTTTGATGACAACCTTCAAACAACTACCAGGCCCCCCATTTATTTCATTACATTATCAACTGAATATAGCTCTTCTTGATTTATACATTTTGTTTAGGGGGATATCAATCATATAGCCAAGAATTGGAACAGCTTATTTAAAAATTCATTAAGTACTGCATAACCTGACCTAATTGGACCTGCTTTGGGCCAGAGAGACATCCAGAAACAACTTCCAGTCTCAAGCACCTGTGACTTCACCATCCAACAGTACAGGTTATCTTGATAAACATACTGTGAATCCTGGGGGTTTCTTAAATGAAAAGGACATCAAGAATGTGACATAACACTAGACTGACAAGTGCCCATTACAAAGGTTCAAAGTGACAATATTTTTGGTGTGTTTTTTTCAGCAGTACGCTTCCAGGTTACAGTATTGAAATATATTCAATCCAACTTTTCTGTTTCCCAAAAACATAGGGAAAAAGAAAGCAATAGGGTTAATGAATTGTTACCAAATTCATTAAAAGTTTGGGCATCATAAAAAATTTGTGGCATTCTGAAATTATTTAGGTACCTGAAGAACACTGAGAAGCAGACTGAAATTTAGAACTTTTCTTCAAGGGAATATTAAAATTAAAATTTGGGCATCATAAAAATTTTGTGGCATTCTGAAATTATTAGGTACCTGAAGAACTGAGAAGCAGACTGAAATTTAGAACTTTTCTTCAAGGGAATATTAACTTAACTAGACTAGTCAGTTCTGACTAATTGTGACTATCTTCTATGAGTACAAAACAGTGCTAGAAAGAAAACCAAGAATCACCATTCCTTAATTACCTATTGAAACAACATCAATGACTTCCTTCAAAATACACCATTCTAGTGCTAACCATGGACAAGCAATGAAGCACATCTTAGAGTGACTCTCATCCCAGGGTCAGTGTGGGGTTTTAGACAGCACAAATATTCAACTCATAAGTTATAAATACTCTGTGGTTTTCACAAAGTTTGAAGATGGACTGGATTTACCAATCATATTATTTAAAAGCAGAAGTCTACATACACTGATTGAATATTCAAATGAGGCAAGGGGTTCCTTCCTCTTCACAAACTACAGATGGAAGGTAGTTTTTAAATTTCCAGAATTTGCAGAATTTAAAAGGGATATTTAGATGAATTAAGAGTTAAAGGCAGTCCCAGGCAAAAGAGCAGCTAAAGGCTTTTACAATAGGTGAGGAGGGAGCTCTTCCTCAGTGGCCACCTCGTGTTCCTCCCCTCTCCTTCCCAACCTCCACAGCACACCATGGTTTTGGCTGACAGATACAGACCCCTGTATCTGTCCTTTGGAAGATCTCCTTTGGAAGCTCCACCCCAGTGAAGAGCAAGAGGTTTTACAAAGGACAAAGCAAGATCAGCTCTTCAAAACAGGGAACCAGAAAAGACATCCATAAGCAAAAGGAGAAAGCAAGCTGGAGCAGCACAGTGCTGGAAGAACAATCCTTTCAGAGGAGGAGGCTGGAGAGATGTAAATAACCTGCACACCTGAGAGATGCACGAGTTTCACTGGGATAAATAACCACACCAGCTTAACACAACCAGCACAAGCTGCTCCCAGAGAATTCCAAAAGCCTTATTTAGGTTTGACTGCATTCAGCAGGTGAGACCACTTGAGTCTCCTTAGCAAAGCCCTCGCAGAGCTTTACATTTGTTTAGCTAAAAACTGAGGAGGTTTACACTGAACAAACGCAGTACACAAATGAGACCTCGAGACAGGGCAACAGGAACTGCCACGGCAGATGATCCAAAACCCAAAGATGTCCAACCAAATGGCATCAAGTGTTTCAGAAAGTCACAGGGAATCACAATGGAGTAACTTGCTCATGGGGCATTTTCTTCCAAGCCCGATTTTCTGACAGTCAGATTTACATCATTATTAATTTTTTTGTGTATTCAACTTACAGCAATAGCCTCATAAACCACCTATTTAATTATTTCTATGAAACTCAGTAAAAGCTTTTTTGATGAGAGGATCCATTTATTATAGCTCTCAAAAACCTATATTCTCCCCTAGATGCTACAAACTCAGATTTTATTTTCAGTTTAACACATCTGACAAGCAAAAAAAACCAAAGTTCTGCATTTTGTCTCTTTACTATTCATTTTGCCTCTCCTTCCTATTAACACACTTAATATCTTCTCGATATAAAAACAATTTCTCTCACATCACAAATGCAGAAAGTTTACCCCATGCTGTTTTCTACATTAACAGAAGCAAAGACAGGAAGAGGTGTTAGCCACTTGTAGGACAGCATTTAAAATTATAAC